GCAGTGAGGGGTTTGTAGGATGAGCTTGGGATTGTCCAGGGGCAGTGAGGGATTGCTTTAGCAGTTTGTAGGACGAGCTCAGGATTCTCCTGGTGCAGTGAGGGGTTGCTTTGGCAGTTTGTAGGATGAGCTATGAGGGTTTTCCAGGTGCAATGAGGGGTTGCTTTGGCAGTTTGTAGGATGAGCTATAGGGGTTTTTCCAGGTGCAGTCAGGGGTTGCTTGGCAGCTGTAGGAGGAGCAGAGCTCTGGATCGTGCTGGAGTCTGACACAGCGGATGTACCCAGTGTGTGACGGGTGGGCACCCACTGGACGAGTTCCTGTGTCACCTGGACCAGAGGATCTCCAGAGGTCCCTCCCAACCCCAAATTCTGTGACGTGCTGCCCCCAACCTGGCCCTGCCTTTCGAAGAAAGAGCCCTGGTGGTGCCAGAGCCCGTTGTGGGAGCCGAAGGGACCGTGCCCCGTCCCGCCCTCAGAAGGAGCAGCAGCGCTGGCTCGGGTTTCCGTCGGTCTGTCTGAGCCTCTCTGAGCTGCCGCCCTACTTGGAGGAAATCCATGGAAACCTCCTCTCCTCCCTCCACTCCTCAAGGCTCCTGCCTGCACAAGGTCTATTCACAACCGGTCCCTGCACGCGAGGGAAGAGCCGATGCTCTTAATCAAGCCTGGAAGCACTGATACCTTCGAGTCGCTCCTGTTGGTTTTTCCCATTGGATTTGTGCCGTCTCCACGTTCCCGGTGCCCGTTTCTCCCTGCTGCTGTGCTCTCCAGCCATCTCAGCAGCCGGGGTGGTGCTGCAGACGCCAGGACTTGCTCTGCCATTGGCTGGGACACAGCGAGCTCCCGGGAGCTGTCGGAACCTGACCTGGTGGAGCTCTGGATTACGGTTCCAGCGGGGCTGCCCTTTGCGTGGGGACCATATTCCATCCATCCCTCTGGATACCCGGAGCTCTCCCTGCCCTGTCCTGGTTGCTGCTCCCAGCAGCTGCTCTGCCTTCCTGTTTGCTTGGCACTGATAATTATACTCGGCCAAAACCCTCCAGATTTGAACTCTGACGCTTCCCCTTTTTTTACTTGCAACCCTTCCCGTATCAGCCCAGGCCGTTTGTTTTCCTCGCCCAAACCACGCCAGGACGCAGATCCAGCGGTTCCAGCGGCCGGGGGGAGCTCCAAAGGAACTGCTGAGCTGGGAGGATGAGTCCATTGTGCACCCCGTGTGTTTTATGGCTCATGAGAGGCCCCTGTGGGATTCCAGCGCTCCGGGGCCCGGCAGGAGCTGGGTGATGGAAGGGATGTGTTTAACGAGCCTTGGATGAAAGAGGAGCGGGATATCTCCACCTCAGTGCCCGTAGGGGTGTTCAATGGGTGGGAAAGAAGATGGAGGAGGTACTTCAGGGCTCTCATATCTCCTGCTGGTACCCAAATCCAACCTGGGGAAGGGATACGGGCTCGCTGTGTGCATCCCTGGGAAGATGGAGCGAGGGCTGCTTTGAAGTTAAATGGAGGCAGGAAATCAGCTGACAGCCAGAGCAGCGGCTGGAACTTCTGCCGTGGTTTAATTCCTGCCTTTGAGACTCATTTGGTGTGAAATCCTGGTTGGCTTCCAGCGTGGACACACAGGAACCCTGTGCCACCGTCTGGCAGAGCTGGTGAGACGTTCCAGGGTGGAGCAGGGAGCCCGAGGCCAGGGCTGGGAGGTGATGAAGTCGGTGTGACAGCCCCACGTCACACGGGCTTAACCAGTGACAGCAGAGCTGACACCCCACAGCCACCCTCGCTGCGGCGGTTCCTCGCCCTTGGAGGCCTTGAGAAATGTCTTGGCAGAGGGTCTGGGGCTCTCTGCTTGCTCCAGCCTGCGTGGGAAAACGGGAGGAGCCTTGTGGGACTTGCGTGGAAGGTGCTGGAAGGAGGTTTTGTGGGAAGCGCTGCGGCCGACTCTTCTCGACCCACCTGGTGATCACACCAGAGCCGTGTGGGCACCGTGTTGGCCATCCAGGGATTCACTCTGGAGCGTCCTTGCCGTGCACTGGGCAGCTCCAGCTTTGTCCTCAGCTCCTTGGCTGGATGAGGGTGGCACCCTGGTGGGTGACAGACTGGCCAGCAGTGCCTTGCTGTCCCAGCGGAGGAGGTTTGCCCGTGGCCACCTGGAAGTGCCAGGACAGCAAACCCTCGTGCCAGCAATCCCTGCCAACCGCCCCCACACCTTCAGAACCAAATAACCCCCCCTCAGAGCTGCCTTGGGAGGGGTTGGGGAAGTTGTAGATGATTTTACAGCTTCCTTTACACCGAGGGTTGCCTGGAGTCGGGATTTACGCGGCGCGTAAACAAGACGCAGCGGGAGACTTCTGGTGTTTGTGGTTTGCCTCGTGTGACCGAGCGACACCTGCCTTGGCCAGGGTTGCTGTGGTGGAAATAAAGCTCCTGAAACCCAGTTGGGGAGGGAGTGACACAGGAGGAGAGTCCTGGGAAAGGTGCTCGTGGAGGGAACGTGAAGGATCTCGGGGAGACACGGATCTCTGCCAGGAGGGCTGAGCTGTGAATGAACATCTTCCCCACTCCTGGCAGTGGTGGCATCTCCCAGCAGCTGAACAGGGGGTTTTACAGGCTGAATGGTGAATGCAGAATCATGGAATGGTTGGGGTTGGAAGGGACCTTGAAGCCCATCCAGTCCCACCCCTTCCAGGCAGGGAACGTTCCCGTAGCCCAGGTTGACCCACCCCTGATGTGAGATGTGGCCGGGACCTCCCACTTAGGTCTTGCTGATGGTGAGCAAGAGTTCACATAGTTCTGCTCTTGGGGGGAGCTGAGACAGAGCTAAGATCAGTAAAACCTCCCTGCTAAGCTGTCCTAAGCACGCAGACATTCAAGTTTTCCTTAAGCTCCTTGGCTGTGAATGCCAGAGCCGTGTTTGGTGGGGATTTAGCGAGGCCTCAGCTGGTTCTGCAGGTTGCAGCTCGTGTGTGTGTGTGCTCTGTGCTGAGTCTCAGACCCAGCAGCTGATCAGCTGCTCCAAGGAATCTCTGGATGCAGAGCAAGGCCTCTGCTGAGGTGATAAACCTGCCAAATGCCTTCATTTATTCTTTATGAATAGCTAAGGAGAAGTTGTTGGTTCTCCCACGTGTCCCAGCGTGGCAAACATTAATGGTTGAGGTTTCGAGGAGAAGTCCAAGCAAGATTCCATGCTCTGCCTCGTCCTTAAGTTGACAGGTGGTGGCTTAGGAGGAGAGGTTTTCCAGATCTGCCCCAAATGCATGAGATTCCCAGGAATTTCCTCAGTGGAGGTGGTGGCTGTGTAGTTTTAACCCCTTGGTTGGCTTGCCCGGAGCGCACAGACCCGGCGAGGGGCTGACCTGCTTCCAAGGGGTGTCTGAATTCCAAAGTGTTGGTTTCCACGGGATATTTCCGGTGCCTGCGCGCAGTCAGCTGCCTGAACGTGCTCTTCCTTAGGAAAACTGGGAAGGAGGTGGCTCCAGTGCAGTAACACGTCCCTTGCATCCCTTCCTTTCTGCAGGAATGCATCCTCTCCGGGATCATGTCCGTGAACGGGAAGAAGGTCCTTCACATGGATCGTAACTCCTACTATGGAGGGGAAAGTGCATCCATTACACCCCTGGAAGATGTAAGTGTGGAGCTGGCACCCACTGCTGGAAAAGGGGCTTTATTCCCAGTTATCCCAGGGGTGGATTCCCACGTGATTAACTCTTCGGGGTTTCCTTGGGGCGAGGATGTTTTATGGTGTTAATAGTAGGGGAGACACCAGCGTGTGTGTTTGTGGTTGTTTTCTGTAATTCCCAGCTGGAATTCCAGCATGGAACACTCCAGGCCTGTAATGCCCAACAGCTGGGTGTTAAAACCCCAACTAAACTGTAAATATTGACTGAGATACTTCACATTACGCAGTATTTCGCTTCCTCGGGTTTTAAATTCCCAAACTTTAAGCCTTGGAGGAAGAAAGCCTGGAAGAGCAGAATAACTCTGCCTGGGTCTCACTGTCCCAGCTTCCTGGATGTGTTTTTGTGCTGCATCAGAAGTCAAACTGGAGCTGAAACTCCGGCCAAAAACCAACTCTGAAGGGCTTGTGTTCGGCTGGGAGCCGTGGGGGTGGAAAGTGTGTCCATGTGTGGGAGAAGTGACACCCAGGGAGCTACAATAAGTTCTGTGTTCTCTCTCTCTCTCTCTCTCTCTCTCCAAAGCTCTACAAAAGGTTTAATCTCCCGGGGGCTCCACCAGAATCCATGGGGCGGGGAAGAGACTGGAACGTGGACCTCATTCCAAAATTCCTGATGGCTAACGGTGAGTGAGCCTGGGCTCCCAGATGTCCCTGTGCCAAAACCCAACCCCTTTTTTTGCTGGAATCTCATCCCTGAGGCACGAGGGCATGGATGTCTTGTGTGGTGCCAGTCTCAGGCTCCGGGTTGGAGAGATCCCAGGCAAGGCCTGGTCGACTCTAGTCCCGGCTCACCTCTGGTGTGCTGTGAGAGTTGAACGTGGAAGGGTTTGGAAGGGCTGCCCTGGGAGCAGCTCTGGCTCCAGCCCCGCTGTCTGACCTGTGCCAAACCCTCCTGCAGGTCAGTTGGTGAAGATGCTGCTCTACACAGAAGTGACTCGTTACTTGGACTTCAAGGTGATCGAGGGCAGCTTCGTCTACAAGGGGGGGAAGATCTACAAAGTCCCCTCCACCGAGGCAGAAGCTCTGGCATCCAGTGAGTAGCTGCACCTTCTTCGTGTCCCCCTGGGGCTCCTGTCCCTAAACAGAGGCAAACCCCACACCTGGGGATGTTCTTGGTGCTCCTCATGTTTTAAGGAGCATCCTCGGGGTTCTCCTGCACCTCTTTGACTTTAAACACCACTTGGGAGTTGTAGCCTTGGGCTTCCTGAGCTTTGAGTGACAGTTTTTTCTTGGAGCTTCCCATCGGAGCTGCCTGTTCTGGTGGCCCATCTGGTGGAATAAGAGGTTTTTACCTCTGGGATTTGTGCTCCCAGCTCTGCCATAAAGACTTAACGTTGGATCCTTGCTGGAATTGCGCGCGTGGAAAAACGTCCCAGGCAAATTAGAGCGACTAATTACAACTCAAACCTTAATTGCTGCCTGCTTAAATTTCACCCCTCTTCCAATAAAACCGCTGCTCGTTCACAGCGGCTCAGGAAATCCTTTAGGAGCTGGTGGAGGGCATTCCAGGAGCTCCAGGTGTGGGATGTGTTCAGTGGCACCTCTAAAAAGCCTCGGGATAAAGTGACTCCTGCAGTCAAGGCTCCAGGTCTGGAGGTCTGAGCCTTGTCCATGGCAGATGTTCCTGTTTGGTCTCCCAAGAGACTCATCCTGGCAGGAGCAGGGGGTGCTTCCTCTGCCCTCCTGCTCCAGCAAGTCCAGTCTTGCCTCCCAGTTTGTGGAAAAATTATAAACTGCCCTGTCCAGTGTCGTGTTTGAAGTTGGAAGTGATGGGATGAGGGGGATGGGCTTAAGCTCAAGGAGAGTTAGATGGGATATTGGGAAGGAATTCCTGGCTGGGAGGGTGGGGAGGGACTGGAATGGATTTCCCAGAGAAGCTGTGGCTGCCCCTGGATCCCTGGAAGTGTCCAAGGGCAGGCTGGAGCAACCTGGGATAGTGGGAGGCGTTCCTGGGGTTGGAACTGGATGGGCTTTAAGGTCCCTTCCCACCCAAACCATTCCATGAAACCCTCAGCGGTTCTTCCCCCCCGTGTGGCCATGGAAAAGCCCCGTGGTGTCTCCAAGAGTCCTGAGCAAACCCCTCGTTTTCAGGCTTAATGGGGCTGTTTGAGAAGCGCCGGTTCCGGAAGTTCCTGGTGTACGTGGCCAACTTCGACGAGAACGACCCCAAGACCTTCGAGGGCGTCGACCCCAAGAAAACCACCATGAGGGACGTGTACAAGAAGTTCGACCTGGGCCAGGACGTCATCGACTTCACCGGCCACGCCCTCGCGCTCTACAGGACTGACGAGTGAGTGATCCCGGTGA